TCGCTAACGCCGCAACAACTGATCCACTTCGCCCAAATCGTAGACACGGCACTGTTTAAGTCATATTTGCTTTACCGGCCTGCATTACTTGGTTCATTGTGTCGAGTTGCGAATTGGTGTGAAGTATCGGAAGTCGAGGAGGAGCTGCGCGCCCGTGAGGTGGGCGTTGGAAGTACTCAAGGGTTAACAACAACTAACTTTTTTTCAGAAATTTGCAGAGCTGATCTTCTTATATAATGGGAAGAAGATGCACGCGAAAGCCCTGGCACTCTTGCAGCAGTGAGTTATTGATTCGGCGGTCTATGTCATATTCCCGACAATTATTCACAGACTGAGCGAGAATGAAGATGATATTAGGGACAAGCTCGATCCGACGGTTTCTTATCTCCAGAAACTGGGGCCAGAGTACTTGGACCAGATATTCAAGTCTGCACGTTGGGTGTTTGACCAAGACCGTGAAATGGGTCTCCAGGTAATACAGCCATGAACCACATTTCGTTCTACCATATCCTGACGTCAACATCAGGTTTTCATGTCCGAGGATGTTGAACTTCCCCGTTCCCATGTGGTTGATTACCTGGAGAAGATTGACCCTCAAATTTCCGCACGTTATATTGAGTACCTTATTGAAGAGAAACATGAAGACGGTGGCATGTTGCATGATCGCCTTGCTGAGCTCTACTTGAGCATTACCATCAGTGCTAAGAAACGTGGGGACAACCGTAGGACTCTCTTCCCTTCAAAATTTGTAGGATGTAATGTTGTGATCTCGCAGAGAAACGGGACGAGACGTACGCGAAGCTTCTCCACTTCATCGACACGACCAACCATTACCATCCTGCCCGCCTATATGGCCGACTTTCAGAAGGTCGGTTAGTCGCATAGCGTAGCAGTGAAAGCTGATGATGCCTTCCACAGATCTTTACGAAGCACGAGCCATACTATTAGGTCGCATGGGAAGACATGAGCACGCCCTAGAACTGTATGCGTACAAGTTAGGCAATTTCCAGAAGGCCGAGGAGTATGATCGCCGTCACCATCTACGTATTGCAGTTGTTTACTGTCTTTTTAGGTACTGCAAACGTGTGTACCACCCCGATACTGAGACCAACACCGTATTCTTGACGCTGCTGAAACTTTACCTACGACCCACTGCGAAGGATCTTCCCAACCTCCTTCCACCTGCTCTGGATCTGATGAGAAGGCAGAGCCATCGACTAAATCCCGTCGAGACACTGCAACTACTTCCGCCTCTCGTATCAGCGGAGGAAGTGCGGAAGTTCTTGCAGCAGGCTCTGCGGATGCCAGTTTGTGATAGTCACGTTATTCGGGAAATCAACAAGGCGCGGAGCGAGCAGGTTGCCAGGACGTTGATGATCCTCGAATCTAGACGCGTCAAAGTGACGGACAGCAGAATGTATGTTACTATGTTTCCATAATGTATACTGACAACTGACTGGAATGATCTATTTTTCAGATGCCCCCAATGCCATAAGCGACTGGGAAGTAGTGTCATTGCAGTGCATGCGCCACGGTCAGTTTTCCGAGTTTGAGTGCTCTTAGGAGGTATTCATGCCACGTTACAGTGGAGAGGTTACCCACTATCAATGCCGAGAGGCGTTTTCTAAAAAGCTTAACTCACTAAGGCAAAGTTAAGGAAGTCCCGTACATTTTGCTTCGGAAGGACATTCGTGTCATCACTACACCACTAGGAACGTGCGGAAAAACCTATTTCCATTTACTATCAACCTCGAACGTATGCCAACTGGATCTCTGTGCTATCCAGTTCGTTGCGGGGTTGATGTAACTATTATGTACGTAGACGCTGCGAGATATTGACGTATCGTACAATCACTTCCATCCCCAGATAGTGGAGCAGAGGTGCTTCCTGCTATCTATGGATCCTCGACCAAAGTAGCCAACGCATATACGGGGCGACTGACAAAGGAGAAAATTGTGGAAGCTAGCGCTACCTGGGTGTCCAAGCGCAAATCCACAATCGATGAATGTGACATAGCAGCAGCAGTCCGATAGATCTGGCGCCGTGTGAGATACCACCGAAAGACAGTTGGTGTAGCTGGCATTGAGTCAGGTCAGGTCGATGGTGGGAACCACTTTTCCAACTTGTTGATCATGTCTTCGACGCGCGTGAGGTATGTTACTAACACGTCCAATATGTCAGCATGACCAACATGAGGGGGGAAGGCGACTTGGAAGTCATCTTTGAAAGAAGCCCCTAGATCGGCCTTCGAATGGCTAATCAAACATGAGACCAACACAGAACGAGATACAAGATTGCCGTAGCTTACTCTTGCCGCTTTCCTGACTTCTCTCGTTCATACTCCCATTCAAGTATCGTCTTCATCCATGTTGAAACTTCCTCTTTTAACTCCCCAAATTCGGCCCTCTCGTTCTCGCTGAGATCCATCTGGAAGCGGAGAGAGGATGGCTGGCTGTAGCCTTCCAGACAACCGGGGAAAAAGTCATTCAATCGCTTTGCGAGCAGGCATGACTCGGGCGATGTCCACAGATAATGAATATACTGCGCAAAAGGTCTTCAGTGATACACAACGAAGTCGCCAGCGACCCACTTACTGCTTGGCAGAGATTCTTCAAGAGGAGGAAATACTGTTTTCTCAAGGACTCGCTTTGTGCTTGGCAAGATGCGTGAGCGCGGATCTCTTTCGTTGTCAACACCCTACCTCCCGGTCGTCGGGCGGGCGCTCTATGTACAACTGGTTCAACGCGAGTATATGCCCTATTTTTTTGGTAGCGAACTGGCGCAATCCCTCGATGGTTGTAAGAACGTTGAGCAGATCGGGAATTTGACCAAGGATGAACGTTGGGTAAAGAATGTTTCGAATTGCATAGAACAACAAGGCAGGTGGTATGTCCGCGCTACCGCTGCCTACAGCCTCTGCTGTACCTGCAACTTCATCTGGAATTCAGGTAAGAAACAACCACGCATAGAGTCGTGATACCGGCCATATATTGTGCGGTGCGCTAGAGTGTCAAACTCGTCCCAGTTAATTCGACATAGTTTTGCTTCCAACTGCTTTCTTTCCTCCGGGTTCATGAATACTTTGCGAGTGGATAGCGGATGGAAAGAACTTCGTGTGAAGCCAGAAAGTACGAACTTATCATTGTCCGACACTAAGTCGGTGATCGCGTCTCGATGTGGCCAGGGACCGTCCGCGCGACACGTGGCTGAGGTGCCAAACAATTGCAGCCACGCAGTACATGTACTACAAACGATACTTCATATAAGCAAGTAATGATGTGAAGTTAATCGTCTTCAGAGTCAGAATCACCAAATAAACATGGTCCGTCGTAAACCATAGCTGCGTTTTTCTCTGGAAAGGCATCGGATGTCCGGCATTCCAGTTCGGTCAGCAAGTGACCTCCCATCATTCGTGCCCCATCTCCTTCAGTGGCCCATTTTTTTCCAGATAGGGAGGCCACTTCGCAACCGCGAGGATAGCTTGACGTCATCATCGAATGTGTTCAGATCGTGCGCCAAGGCATCCTCAAGAGGCTTGTGAACTGAACCAAACCGCGATGCAGTCCTAGAGAGGAACAATCATTATCTCCGAAGTACTGATTAGACCCGACCGCCGTTTCCTTCGTGAGGAATCTGAAACTGCACCAGTGAACATGCTGCTGGTGACATCTCTCCCGGTTTTCACGGAGTAACCAACGCCTTCCCTTCCTTTGGTAAAGTCGATCGGACATTCACTGGATGAAGTTACGTCGATGCAACCTTCAAACGTTCCACTTGCAGAATCCTTCCAATAGTTGCCCAGGGATCCGGATCGGAAAGGAAGTCAAGCGGCAGGTGAGTCATAGGGACAATATCTGAATTGTCCTTTACAGGCTGCGTCTCATGAATACAACGTACCCGGTCAGGGCTGTCGGAAAATTCCAGTCCTCGGAACGTAGGCTGATGTGAAAGGAAGGAAAGCGACAACTCAGGACTTGAGTGGATCTTACTTCCAGAAAACTTGTCGCTGCTAGTAGAAATACGAGATAAGGGCTGAAAGTGCCCCAAGTCTGACCGTGCCCCGAATCCTTCGATGGGTGCATGTGTTGTGTTGCCGGGAAGTAGTGGCCAAACATCATGGACTGCTCGTTAGACCATTCGGTTATAGGACTAGGGGGAGGCCTTGGTGAAGACTCGAACTCCAAGATCATGTCGCGATCAACATCCATAAAGGAAGAATCGGTGGTGAAGGGAGAAGACCGAGGAAGGGGCGAGAACTGATTACTTTGGGCACAGAGAGGCCCTGAGTAGAGAAAGGTGCCTTCGAGTTTCTTCTCTCGGTATATCCACTGTCACGGAAATTCCGGGAAGCCATCCCCTCGTCTGTATTATTGTTTTCTGGTCGCTGTAAATGCTCGGTATCAAAAGGAGAATCCTGTGAAGAGACACACGAGGACTGTTTAGCCAATATATTCTTGCCCGAGATCAAGAAGTACTTGGTCGTTAGTTCCATATTCATCAGAACTGTCGTTGGCCGTTCTCGCGCCCCCGCAGGGCACTGTGTCCTTGTGAGTAACCGCTTGAGCACCAACTAGATCTGGTAGTTGAAGTATCCGATCGATAGCAGCTCGGATCGACATGTCTAACACAACAGATCCTTAGCGCCGACAAGGATTCGGAAACACAGAAGCATACGATCCGACGTATCCAATGCAGAGAGTACTTTGGATGGTCGTTTTCGGCCATTCTCGTTATCAGAAGATAACGTATAATACTGATTGAGGGGGACATGTGGAGACCTTCTAGTGTTATGGGGTGCGTGGGCGAGAGATATCTCGGACAACAAAGAAGCTGAACGCAATGGACCGGAATTACGACGATCCCCAGGACTACGGTGTCCTAGAGCATTCGCTAGACGTTGTTTTACAAAGTGCGTTTTTGTGCACGGCCAGCCGCGTCTTTTGTCTTCGCACGTACTGCATTTCTAGGCGTCGTGCTTTAACTCTGATAATGTGGGTAGCAGGTCCAGTCAAACCTTTTTCCACCCATGTAATTAGCACCGACCATGGTTGCTGATTGGCAGTTGAGTTGGTGGTCAAATGATGATGGTGGCTGCTACGTAATTGATTCCGATACCATAACAGCAAATATGACCATAAGCATGCTCCCACCTTCCTCGCCTGCTGGCCCAACCATCACCCTGACGCTCTCCACGTATGGAAAGCCGGACAGTCACGCTCAGAAAGGCGGTGGGCGAGGTGCCCATAAATACTAGACTTGGTAATTGACCCCCTTGGGACCCAAGACACCGCAAACTTACCCGAGGTATAATTTAACGGCTTTGCATATATTATAATGAATCACGAAAAATGGCCATGAAAATGTAGATACGAGCCTGACATACTACAAAGTATCTACCACTTATCTAGGAATAGGTCATCATTGTTGTAAACTGATAAGACACGCTCAGCGTCGTAGACACAAGCGCTGTCATTGACAATACCTGATAAGACACGCTACAGGAGGTAAGTATACACACGTGTCCTCAGGGGTTACCGTACCCACCTCAGCGTCGTAGACACAAGCGCTGAGGTGTAAACTAGCGTAAACAGTTCTACAAGTACAAGAGCGCCTAACACGTGACCGTTGACACCTACAATCATCATCACTCTCTTCGTCAGAAAACACCCTACACTGTATTTTTTGAAGCTTCACTCTTGGCCACTGTCGAGAACAGTGGAACTTCAATTGCAGCTGCTTGTTGAAAGCCGAGACCGAAGCTTCACATTATGTAATTGTGTAAGCCACACCTCTCATGGAGCGCTGCCTGCCCTTGCCCGCCTGCCATAGATAATTCCATAGCCACTGACAAGTTAAAAATGCTGCTGGCCCACCACTACTCCCAACCCACATCCGCATTTGGTATATATTGAAATTTCCCACCCTACTGCCCTGTAGTCCCCTGGGTCAGCTCCCTTGCCCTATGGGGCTCTATCTTCTGCTGGCATGCATCATATATGATCATTAACATGAAGTATAAGTATATTAGAGCATAATTGAACACTTAGTCGAGTATACTAGTGGCCCTGAATAGCTTGGAAATGAGATAGGGGTAAAAAGCCAAAAAGCGGACGCTTTTCTGATATATTGGACATATCTACTTGGTTTTCATGTCTCCTTCAAGGTAATATGTATGCCTACAACATATCTAAAGTTCATAGCCTTTGATGGAGTACTTTACATGTGGTGACACAATCTCCTCCTCCCTGTATTTCACCATAGAAACTTTTTTCTGGGTCTTTTTGTGCTGGTAATGTGATGTAACATGGTATAGTAGTTACACTTCATGAATTGGTGCATAATTGGACCGCCCATCAGGTGGCTGAGAAGCTCTGAATTGCTAGAAACGATTTCAGGGGTTACAGACAAAAAAGTGTTCGCAATTTTGCTACATTTGATATGGGCATTTGAGAGGGACATCCCCTTGTAGTGGCCCTCTGTACCTATATAATATCACAAGCTCATTGAATGGGGTGGAGCTCCTGAGGTGTTGTGCCATGGTCTTCCCCTGCTGGTATTTAGGGGCTCTATCAATTTCCAGGAAGTATATTGCTATTCTGACTATCTAGGGATCTATTGAATACTTATTCACAACCAAAAAAATAAATACCAAGTCCACAGCAGAAGGGGAGAGAGCAGGGGAAGGAAAACAATCACCCAGAGAGCGTGGGAAAATGCGCAAAAAGTTGCGGAGACTTTTAGAACATATCAAAAAGATGGAATGGTATATCATACACAGTGTCTGGTACTCAATGGATGGAGTACCATGTTCCCCTTGGTCATGGGACATGCCTTCATGTAATATAATACCTGCATTACCCAGAGAACCCAAAAATATGTGAAAATTGATACATGTGGACTTCTGATCCAGTAAATACATTTCACTACTGAGGATAAGAGACTGGTACCAAGTCTCAAGTTCTGAGGGTGTGACACACTGAAGTAGGCGTAATATAATTCTAGGAGGAGCTATCAGATGTTAAAATCCCAGTACTACCATCCATTGAGCACCAGACACTGTGTATGACGTACCATTCCATCTTTTTGATATGTTCTAAAAGTCTCCGCAACTTTTTGCGCATTTTCCCACGCTCTCTGGGTGATTGTTTTCCTTCCCCTGCTCTCTCCCCTTCTGCTGTGGACTTGGTATTTATTTTTTTGGTTGTGAATAAGTATTCAATAGATCCCTAGATAGTCAGAATAGCAATATACTTCCTGGAAATTGATAAAGCCCCTAAATACCAGCAGGGGAAGACCATGGCACAACACCTCAGGAGCTCCACCCCATTCAATGAGCTTGTGATATTATATAGGTACAGAGGGCCACTACAAGGGGATGTCCCTCTCAAATGCCCATATCAAATGTAGCAAAATTGCGAACACTTTTTTGTCTGTAACCCCTGAAATCGTTTCTAGCAATTCAGAGCTTCTCAGCCACCTGATGGGCGGTCCAATTATGCACCAATTCACGAAGTGTAACTACTATACCATGTTACATCACATTACCAGCACAAAAAGACCCAGAAAAAATTTTCTATGGTGAAATACAGGGAGGAGGAGATTGTGTCACCACATGTAAAGTACTCCATCAAAGGCTATGAACTTTGGATATGCTGTAGGCATACATATTACCTTGAAGGAGACATGAAAACCAAGTAGATATGTCCAATATATCAGAAAAGCGTCCGCTTTTTGGCTTTTTACCCCTATCTCATTTCCAAGCTATTCAGGGCCACTAGTATACTCGACTAAGTGTTCAATTATGCTCTAATATACTTATACTTCATGTTAATGATCATATATGATGCATGCCAGCAGAAGATAGAGCCCGGTAGGGCAAGGGAGCTGACCCAGGGGACTACAGGGCAGTAGGGTGGGAAATTTCAATATATACCAAATGCAGATGTGGGTTGGGAGTAGTGGTGGGCCAGCAGCATTTTTAACTTGTCAGTGGCTATGGAATTATCTATGGCAGGCGGGCAAGGGCAGGCAGCGCTCCACGAGAGGTGTGGCTTGCACAATTACATAATGTGAAGCTTCGGTCTCGGCTTTCAACGAGCAGCTGCAATTGAAGTTCTAGAGTGCACTTGACAGCTACCGAGATACTGAAGGTTCATTTTCACAGTACTGCCTGGCAATTGATATGATCATCAATGCCCTGAATAGCAGCGATTCTGAGCACACTTTTGCACTGATGCTCTCCCAGCAAGGCATGGTATTAGTGGAAGGCAAGTACCTGTGGTACTTGATACATTATGTAGTACTACAGTAACTAGGATGTCATTACTTCGACCTTGGCAGAGTCTGCATAAATACCTATAAACACCCATGTGTATTTTTCTGGGGCTGTCCCGGGTCCCAAGGTGGCTGACTACCAAATGCAGTAGGTGTATGGCACATCTCCTACCATGTACCTGAGCATGACCGTCTGGCTTTCCATAATTGGGTAATTACTGCATGCTGGTTGAAGACTATGGAAAGCCAGACACTCGCACCACATAATTTTTGAACTCAGTGCCAAATGCCCGAGCACGCACTTACTACTTTTGAAAAAAACTTTCGGCAAGACCCCAATCACCATTGTGCTGTTGATAGATGTCCACTCGTCATTGTGCCAACGTCTGAAGTTCCATTACCATAGGTTCACATGCTATAGTGATAGATTCAATGGTCATTTACAAAACAGTAGCATAGAGTTTTATCTAAGCCCAATATCCTGTAGATCTACAAGCTGCAACAAAAATCTTGCTTCACTAACAGACATACCCTGGCCAGCAAGAAAAATAACCAGATCTTCATCGTTATGCACACACTCATGTGCCTGGATAATATGTTCGATGTCCCCAGTGCCCTATCCATGGGATGCAAGATAGCAAGCCACTAGGTCACCAAGTGGGTGAGCAAGGTTCCGGATGCATGAAGTCGAGGTTGGATAATAATTGCTGGAAACGATGCCACAAAGATTACAGACATGACCATAAATGATGGGAGAGATCATGGCCTCTGACCTAGATGAGACAGTTGATGTCAGAGTGGAGGAGTGAGATGTAGATGAGGTATGCAAAAAGGTCGGGTCAGACAATGATGTAGAAGCATGCGAAGGCATTGAGGTAGTTTGTTGAGATTGAGGCAAAATGGATAGTGAGCAATGGAGCTGTTCAGCCAAAGAATTGGCTGTGGCTGGAGGGGGACTTTCACCTATCTGGTCATGCATCAACATGGGTGGCATGCATTGTGGGACTCCTTTGACGATCATGAAGGCTAATGCAGTCCAAAATGAAGTAGTTTCCCTTTGTACACGGTATTTAAATGACCCTTCAGCACAAGTTGCGCTCTTGCTGAACGAAATCAAGCTACAAACTACATAGTATGAGATTAAAGACTCAAGCTGTGCGATGAATACCAGGGGGCGAACCAATGATGATCGCATAAAAAGTACTTTCATCTTCCAGTAATGTCCGTACACGTGGAATGTTGAATGCTGCAAGTATCTGCATGTAGTCTGCATTGTGTGGAAGTGTATCTATGATGGCTTGAAGAGTTTTTGCAATGCAGCTAGCTTCAGAGCTTGTTTTACATTGGATCGCAAGGGGGAAGGCTCGTGTCTGATGGCCACACGCAATAAACAGACTATGGACTGTGTTTTAGTACTTGTATTCGAGATCGGGTTGTATGAACAACATACCAGTCCTCAGACCCATAAACACAGGCACCACCATCACCACCAACAAGAGCCCAGCAGTGTTCTGAGTTGGCCATGTAGATGTTGAATGCCAAGAGCTCGCCATCACACCACTTTATGTACCAGAATTCGCCAGGCATTCCAAGAAATGGGATGGATAAGAACGAGTGCAAGGCACCTAGTGAACTGCTCTCGAGAAAGTAAGTTGCTTTCTCAACAAAGACATCAATACAATTATACTCCCAAGGGTTAACCTCGCCAATCGAAGAACAATGCCACATGACCAGCACATGTTGTGTGAATGCTCGAGGTTGTGCGATCTTAACCACTCTCATATGTGAAAAGTACTACATGAGGTTTTCATTCCAGACACCACAAGATGATAACAATGCAATTGTGTAAGACAGGGAGACTACCAGCCGCCGAATTGACAAACTAGCTCGTAAGGAAGATGTGAGATAGGCTACATCCACAGACCGGCGTTGATGTCCTCCTCATCTGCCTCATCATCCTCCTCCGAAGAAAACTGAGCCACTAGAAGTGGAGGAGCAGCGTCGATCTCATTGTAGATATCAGGCTTGTCAATGTTCAGAGCATCCATTGTCTGTAGATGGCTGGCCTCTGAAATGAATGGGAATCAGAAAGGATTGCTGTTTGGATTATGAAGCAAACACTTATGAAGGCCCAGTCCATTTGCAATGCCACCCATATAACCCTCCACTTTGTGGAGAGCATGGAGGCCTGGCAGGAGATTCAATTCCTCGGAAGCTGCATCGAGACAGTCTTCCATTGCTGTCAGAATGGCGGGCACTCCCTCACAGTGCCACATTAGGTCCAGGATATTGCAGTAGACAGTCCACGTGGAGGTGCATCCAACAGAAGGGCTGCCCAATTGAAAGTAACATGCTTTGATGAATGCTTTGAGAGAAGGGGGCACAAGGTCAAACACGATGTGGTTGGGATTGATGTACAATTGTCGCACTTGTTTGATGGTGTCTGGAGAAACCATTATCTACATCATGCACAAATACATAGTAGATTAGCATTGAAATGTAAGCTACAAGATAGTTAGGACATGCCTTGAAATTCAATGCCCTGTAGTCCTCTGGGCATGTATAGATGAGTTCTGGGATTCTGTGAGCCAAAACCTTTCTTTTGTCATGACGCTTTCAGCTGTTATTGATGCAGTCTTGATAGTTTTTTAGCTCAACTTGGAGCCAAGGGATGAATACCCATCGAAAAACCATGCTGTGGATGGGGTCACTTTGAATACATACAGGGACAGGTGTGAACGGCATACTTACAGCTGTAGCATGTTGTTGGGGTCATACCAGCCAGAATCTACACCCATATCAAGTAGAGATTCAAAAGCTGGGGAGAAACGGCAGCAGAGCTGGGACCAGGCTATCTCTGGCTTGATATTCTTCTTTGTATGCATCCACTGGTGCTGAATGTAGCCCTCAAGAGCCAGATCATGCATCTGCCACAGTAGAGTTTGTGCATTCGCAATTCCGAAGTTTTCGGTACCTGGATCACTTTGAGTGATCATGGGAATGTCTTATGGACCGTGAATTTGAGCAAAAATAGGAACATATGCATGGAACTTACAGCTGAATTCTTCGACAGTATTGAGGTAATAAGAGAGGATGAGCTGCAGGTTGCAATTGGAGTGCCAAACCCTGGTCCAGAGGATATGGCCTGAAAAAGGTTCGATGCCAGTGTGTAGTGCAAGGCCAAAATGCAACCACTTGTCATGCTGGTCCACAGCCCATATATCGTTTACACCAGCTGCCCAGAAACGGTGACACTGCAAACGATTGGCTTTGCGGCTCTTCAATAAGTGGGGTTCATAGGTAACAAAATACTCTCGGATCACGCTTCTACATGCCAATTTCTCATCAGCATTCTGCAAGTGAGTGGACAATTGGTCATGGTTTGCTTACCTTGAGACAGCCATACCGTGCTCATGAAAGAGCAGCCCAATCATCTCACGTACCCCCACATCGGGGTACATTTTCTGCATCTCAACCATGACATCTTGGATACTCTCACAGGTGTGTCCCTGTTGGCAGGTGCGAAGTAGTCCAAGCTGCTTTCGAATTTCCTGAAACTTGGTGAGGCTGAGATTATCAGTGAGTCATGAGTCACTCCCTTTCAAAGAAAACCTCACCCAATACCATAGACACTCATATTGATATGTTTGCGGATTTTGGAAACAATCTCCTTATCTGTCAGGCAGGCTTTCCACAGTCGCCTGATGTGGGGCTCGATTTGGTCAAGGGGTGCTGTAGGTCATGAATAATACATCGTCATATTGCTGGGAGAACTAGCACTTACGAGTAGGTTTATTCTGATTCTTCAAGAGGGTAGACATGAGAATGGCATGCTGTAAGCTGAAGGGTTTCCACAGTAGTCAGTTCACCCTGACTCTTAAGATCTCCTGTTGATGTGTTAAGACGTACTGAAGCTGTGTTATAGTGTTGTGATCACAAGCATTGCAGACGTGTGCGAGTCATTGTGATCACAAGTATTACAGACACGTGTATGGACAGCCAATCGCTTAGGCTCTCTGTTCAACCTTCTGCAATGGGCACATTCACTGTGTGTCTATCTCCTCATGCTGCTTCGATGGGCCACCCTTGTCTGATGCTCGACGAATTGGGTTCTCGTCCTACTCTTTCGTGTGACCATTCAAGACAAACCATGCCTCAAGGTTGCAAATATGACCTTTTACCATGGATTCTGTCACTCGATTTAACCCCCTGTGTCCTCAAGGTATGGTTGTGTTCCTCTGAAACCTACAGGTAGGCTTCCAAATCCATTTGAGGACCTGTTCCAAAGTTCATCAGCCATCTGCTACACTTAAGGTCAATGCTAGGGCCACTGCATGAAATGTCCTCGCATATTTCATTGTCTGATTCCATCTTGACTGAAGTAAGTGCCTGGAATTTATCTCATGACAAACTAGCTAATGAAGGAAGTTTGTTACATTTTTATGGTCAGGCCTTGTGTGTGCCAGTGGTTCCATCGACCAGGATACCAGCTGGTCATCATCTGGTGGATCATACTTAACCTGTTTACTGTCATTCTCGCCCATTCACTCAGTATCTTCGTTATCTTGTGATCCTTCCCCCATGCAAGTGTCTGTTTCAAACCTCATTACTCAGTTTACTGAGGATGTGTTCACAAAAGAAGACAGGATCTGCCAGCAGTCTTGGTGCCAAGCTCTGATACACAAGGGCGAGCCTTTCCTCTATGTTGCCACCTATGATCCTGCTCAGCCCGGTAAATTCGTCTGTGAAGCATGTCATAGGTGGTACAAGAACAAACCCGCCACCATAGCTCAGGCACAAAACACCAATGGTATGTATGTTCTGCTCTGTTCGTTGGGCTTGGACTCATACATCCTCAGCATTACCCAATCCACAGTACATACATCAGTCCATAAGTGCTGCACAGTCATGAGGTATGTCCAATCTGTGCATTCAGACTTGCTGCTAAACTCAACTTATTTGTAGCTTCGGTCAACCCCCCGCCATCATGGCCATGTCAAATGCTGCTCCAAACCTTGGCAACTTGGCAATGCTGATTCCTCCACTGCCAATGCCAACTGCTCATCACAACTCCAAGTTTTCCCCTGCTGGTCCAAGTGTCCAAGTGCCATCCACTTGGCAGAACATCCCTCAGCCAGCAAACTCTCCAGCAAATGCTGCATTGGGCCACATGATCACACTGCCACCTGGCTCCACTGGTTATAGTGCACAGCATGTGCATTATGCAGCTCAACATGAATGTTGGGCACACATGGCTCACAATCTGCCTCCTGCAGAGACAATCTCCTTAGAAATATGGGCAGTCTTCGAAGCTGGGGGCAAAAAGAAGAATCTGCGAGCAAACAACATCGGGGTAAGTTTTGCTCGATTCAGATTGTATGAGCAGTGTTAATCAAGTTCAATAGAGTATCTGTGAGGGGCTGAAAGACATTGACATGCTGAGCACTGTGCATGAACTTTTGGCCATAGCACTTGGCATTTTGGTACTGCACATCAAAGATTACTGCCCACAGTTTCCCTGGTGAGAGGAGGAATTCTTCGTCTGCAACAGTAAATGAGTTGACCTTTCCAGACATTCAAGCCCAACAGCATACTTTTATGGTGACTGTCTCCATGACAGCAATTGGAAAGGATCAAAAGTGAAGGTTTTTAAACCAAAACAGTTCATGTTATTCATCATTGTACCTGTGAATCAATGGGAAGAATTTGAAGAATTTCAAGAGAAGCTCCACTCTAGCCCACCTGCCCACAAACAGCAGACATCTTGGGCTGGCTTGAGCACTTCTCTCCCTGGTTCTACAGTCTCAATGCTGGTTGTACCTCGGAGCACGATGATTTCTGAGCCATCCACTCTTTTTTTCTCCAAGGGAGTGGTTTCTACGACGTCAAGTAGCATGTTTGATCACCCAATCTTGCACGATGTGGCACATCTTTGGGATGGAGAAAAGGTATGCTTAGCTCCAACATGATTTTGACCCAACCCATCCACTAACACATTGAACATAGGATATGGTGCTGCCCACTAATTCAAGTGTGATGTCTGGTAAATGCCACCACCGTCATACTAGTAGTTCATCCAGTGGTTCTACTCCCCTTCTGCCCCAGAAGAGATCTGCAAAAACTTTCTTGTCCCCCAACTGCAATCAAATCAAGAAAGCATTACAGTCTGGGGGGGCCTCCGAATTCAATGTAAAGACAGGTAAGCAGACTTTCCAGTTGATATCATTGTAGTTTCGAAGTACTGATGTATCTTAGTCTTCTGGCAGAAAGTCATACAAGTGGACTTTTACCCCATCCAGACCCATGATCTTAATGATCTGGTCAGCGAGAAGGCTGCATTCAATATTAGAAATGCTGACCTTTGCTCTGGGAAAATCCGGCTCAATGCCTCTGCTGATTCGATCATTGGAGTTGGAGCATTCAAGATGGCCCAAATTGCACAACTCAACCTATCACCTCTCAGGGACATGGGTATTGGGTCATCTCCCAACAATCACATCGTCCTCAAAAGACCATATATTGATGACCATCCTGTGGAAGTCAAACCCCCATTCACACATTATGCCCTACAAGACAAGTCCAACATACTCTACCGCAAAGCTAACACTTTGTACTGGGCCAAAGCACTCTTGCAGATGATGTACCAATTCATTGATCATGCTGTTGAAGATACCAAGGTACCACCACCTTTCGAAATTCCTCACCTGCACTTTGTGGATGCAGGATTGTTATTTGCATATTTGGATGTGCCAGCAGAAACAGAAAGGGGGTCTGGGAAGCCATCCAAGCCCAGCAGTATTGTGAATGTCACATACCTTGTTGAGGAACTCATCCACACGTCCTCAGATGATGAGTTTGTGAAGTACATCCACAATGGCGATGTGGCTCCTTGCTTCCTTCTGGATACAAAGGCAGAAGAGATTGCAGACTTTTTGGCCTTCACTCAACACGTACAGTACATCATGACTGGTGGTCAAGTATACATATCTGACTATCAAGGTAAGCTGTGGCAATAGGCAGCACTATTCATGCATCTACTTACATGAGTTCAACCAGGTAGCAGACTGCTTTTGACAGATCCGCAGATCCTCACACATCTGTAAGTACATTTTACTCAGTATTCTACCTTGTCAACGTCCTGCGCTCTTTTATTGTCCCTAGTGATGTTGCTGAAGGTCGAAGACTCTTCAGTGAGGGGAATGTGGAGAAAGGGGTGGCACTGTTCGAGAATCAACATATTTGCAACTTGTTTTGTAGATGGGAAGGCTTTGGGATGAAGGCTTTCAGCCATGGATCGAAGTCTCTTCGTTCAACCACTTAGACATTAGACACATACATACTCTAAGCTGTGGGTCTATGTGATATTGAACTCAGATAAAACTATGCAATATTTTTTGTAAATGACCACTGAATCTATCACTATAACATGTGAACTCATGGTGATGGGACTTCGGATGTTGGCACAATAGCGAATGGACTTGTTGTATTGGATGTTCAACAATGGTATAATGGTGATTGGGGTCTCGCCAAAAGTTTTTTTTCAAAAGTAGTAAGTGCTCGGGCATTCGGTGCTGAGTTCAAAAATTATGTGGTGCGAGTGTCTGGCTTTTATGACACTGCATCTGTAACATTAAACAAACAAAAATAAAACAGCTGATTGCGTGACTTTTGCAGCACTGCTCCTGTGCAACTTTTTATACTACCCCTGCATAATTTTTAACACAGCCACCTTGTACCACTTTGCACTAGCTAGGAGGGCAGATAAAATAGATAAACGTAGGCAGGACGTGAACACAGTTCGTCAGCACCCTCCCCAGTCATCCCGCCCAATCCACGAGGCCGTGATGCCCCACAGGGCCCGCTCGAACGCTCGACCCCCTCCCCCGCCCCTCCCGCCTGGTGGCGGGATTGCTCCTTCGGGAAATTCCCACGGCATCACCACCTGCAAATTCATGTGACCGCACTCCATGCCACAAGTCATCACTGGCCTAGCGAATTTGGGCCCGTTTCTTGGCAAAATACCCATTATTACATGGGTTATGTACAGTGGCATCGAAACGAGTCCCGAGGAACGGGCGAGGAGTGCGTGTAGCCCTGACTCACTCGCTCCCCCGTGCATGTGCCCTGCTTAGTCAGTAGCTGTGGGCACAGCCACCTGCAAATTTTCTGCGCATTACTGCACAAGTCGCGCAATCAGCTGTTTTATTTTTGTTTGTTTAATGTTACAGATGCAGCGCCAGAGGCTTTCCATAGAAGACTTCTAGGAAATTCTATTTTGGGAACAGCCACTGTAACCCTTCCAAAAACGCGTCCTTAGAAATGATAAATATCCCCCTGTTCTCGGTTCTAACTTGCGATAGCCCACCCACGGATCACTCGCTACGCCGCCATGGACATAATCTACACGCCAAACCTCCTGGACCGCTTCGCTCGACCATACGCTGTGCAAGATTTCTGGCGCTTTGCAATGACACATCGCACAGAAGCGAGAATCGTTGAATGCCGACTGTATTATATCCCTTCTCGAAAATCATCCTATCATGAGTTCCTTCTTGCCCACGTTGAGGATAGTCGTGAGTGCATTCACTACGTGTGCATAGCCATGTCAAGACCTGTTTTGATAGAAGGGAGACTCGTGGTCATCATCCAGCGCAGCTCCAGCAACAATGGGATACGAGCAATGTCGTCGGATGGTGGACTTGCAAGAGATACTATCGCGTTCGTGCCAGCCATGTACGCATTTCAATTCAAGCGCATTGCTTTAGTGCCTGATCTATCTAGGGGGTACCACGAGTACTGGCAAAGCCCCAGTGCACGTCCAATGTGCAGGGGTACACTTCGATGGCACCATCCCCTACCCCATCTCTCGAGTATCGCATTATTCGCAAACGTTGCATCCACCAACTTTACATACTACAATCTCTACATTCGCCAGTGCTACTGGTATGCCAGAATCATCCAAGCTGCTATGGAAAGAGCATTCCCGTCTTGCTCCAGCGAGGGCACTACGTCGTCCTCAAGTAGAATGTTTCCAATACTCGGAAACTACAGCCCGTCACAACTTCAGCACCTCATTAACCAACATAGTAGTCACTTCTGCACTTTACCGCCCACCGAGGTCGAACAACATGCCCCTCGCCTAACCACTCCATATATTCTGCACGGTTTAGCTGCATCTACAGTCACCCCTCCTGGATGGTTCATATGGCAAGAGGTTGTCTTTACAAATGCATACGGAAACCGCATAGCAGGAGGAATGCGGCCAGTATATGGGGTCTTTTGGGGTGGATAGCGATTAACAGTGGATGTACGACTTGGATTATGGCACTGCGATGGACACGGCGGCCACACGGCAGGGATGGTCCCAGTATATGGGATGTTTGCAGGTGGGTAGCGACTGACTATGGTTTCACGGTTTGGTGTCAGTCGATACCCGCAGCTGGGTTGGCCGCCCACCCTTTCGTTTCTTCATTTCCAATGGATCTTTCATTATGGCACTGCAGCTACATCATAGGTGTTTGTAGTCAGTGTTTCCCTCAGTCAGGACTGAGACAACCGCAATGCCTTTTGCAAGTTTCTACACATAGTATTTATTATCCGTGCATACGCACATTGCACACAGCCTACGAATACCTGCAACGATGATAGTTGTCATGAATCATGCCTTCCTTCTCCAATTTACTATGATTTCTTCATATGCGACATCATGCACCACACCACCCCTGAGCACTCGTGTGGGCTCAATGCTCTGTCCAGCCTTCTGAGACCAAAACCCGTCACAAAGGTCAATGCAGAACCGTGGTCTTCACGGCCGTAGTATGTGGGGCCCTGTGGTACGTACCGTCTCGTTTTTGTGTTCGGCTGCGCGTGCAAGCCGTGCGCCGCAGCTTTCAGTCCATTTCTCGGCCACCTATTCTTCCTGGGTGTCCTTCGTTTTCCTCTCGTACATCCTCTGCTTTGCATTCCTCCCTTACTATCACAAGACCCGTCGTTTCTCGCACTAGGAAGCCCATCACCTCGAGAAAATCGTCTCATAACGACACTACTCACCTCCAGCCAATTTCTTGATCGGCATTGATCAACGTAAATACGAGACTCTCCTAGTTTTTGTCCTAGTATCTGCAACAAGGACGGATAGTGCTTGGTAGGTGTGTGGTCTGGCTCGATCTATGAACTTCGAGGCCCGGGTACCGGTGTCTCTGCTGAGACTCCACCGGAAATCTATGGGCGTGACGTGGTAGGTAATACATTCATCAGAATACTTTACCAAGGCAGAGCTCGGTATCCCCTAGCTAACTTCAACCTGGTTGCTTCCGGGAAAAAGTTGATAGGTCAAATTTCCTCGGCGATCTTAAAAAGCGGAGAAACGAGACAGTGGTTAGTCCTCGATTTCTGACTTGTACGCACGTTGACATCGCACAATCGTGAGATGTCTTCTTCGTCTATGACGTCCGCAACTCGTTGTTTCCTTGCAGCGTTCCTGTGATCACCTAGACGCCTTACTTACCACAGTACTCGTGGGTTCAACATAGGGAACGCGTTACGACGGGTGCATTGCATCCCCTTGTCAATGGAGGGAATGTAAATGCGAAGTTGGATGTACTTACCCGGGCATGGTCCGCCCAGAGGCAATCATCACCATAAGAATCGAAACAGAGGCTCTGGGATCGATCAATGGGCCTATCGTGTCCACCATCTCCACGGCCTGTGTCATTCTCCCCCTTCACATTCCATATCTCTATAACCTTTTCACAGCCGCCCTACAATAAACAAGGCTTCAGCGCGAATAAAACCGGCACGATGGTAGTCAGTCATGTTCGGTAGTTATCACTTGCCTGAAAACCAGACGAGATCAAGATGAAAGTGATGAAGGCGGTCATGGATCTGCGAATATGGAATGAGAATCCGAGCAGAGCACAAGATTATCCCGGCTCGCAACCAGCTCTTAAGGTACAAACAAACCTAAACAATGATACCTGACCACGTGCGCCACAACCGTGAGAACTCATCATCCAATTCTCACCGCATGCGGACCGGCCGTGCGCCAACCCACAAAGGCCAAGACCCATCGCGACGTGGGCCCAATGCAAAATTACGCTCTTCGGAATTGCAGTGGCCTGTATGAAGATCTGTCCTTAGGTTGTTTACCGCCTTTTCCCCCTTTCTGGGGTTGTTTCAGCTAGACTCACCTCTCACATTGCTATTTCTGAGAGTTTCTGTCCCGATATCCTTTGCTTCATGGCCCCTCTTCATTCGTACTTCTTCTCCCAAATAGCTTCCTCACCTTCTCTCTGACACGTCTTGCATATAATCTGATCATCAGGTATGTTTCAGCACACATATCAGATCCAAATGGAGTCTTGTTTGAGTGTTGTGGTTGTGATGTAGGGAAAAACAGATCCAGACAACCAATCTACACACTGGGGATTCAACAATCCTCAGCGAGGTATGCATGTATCGTACTTACCTGTGTTACCAGCTTCCCACGTTTGACACGCATACATTGCTAAGGACAGGGATGACTTGCGGGGTAAAGCAAAGCCTGCTACAAGGTTTGTTAGGCTAACGGTGAGTGAATTCATTGCGGACCAGACGCTCTCCCCTCTTTCCCATGATGACCACCTCCCGATTCCCTCTGTCGCAGCTCATGTCAATGGAGCCTGTTCACCGCATGACCCAAAGGTACCCTCGCAGTGTCTTCAGAGCTGCTGTGTAGTAGATGATCAATTGATCCCCCGCATGGCGCGACCGTCATTTTCTTATTGCAAGCCAGCGAGGACTGAGAAAGCGGTCATCGATTTCGAGGTTGTTCTAAGAATTCCTGACGTTTGAAATGGGATAGGAAATTGTAGGCGTAAGTCGGATTCGAATTGCTTGCGTTAGGTTCCAATAACCCAAGACGTCGAACCTGTTTATATGATGTTGTGAGTGAGATGCACATTACGAAGGAAGCACTCGAAAGCTGCGAGTTGATGACTCGGTGAATAATTCACGAAATCTCTCCTAGGCAATCACAAGTGGCAGGAAAGTGGGATAGTAGTTGGAACTTCGTTCCCAGAGTTGCGGCGCAAATCGACGTCGAACCGCACACTGACAATGGCTCCTGTGATCAACGCCTGCAACTTATTTAATGTACTCAACGCCATATTGCTGCGCAAACCACGCAAGATGATCGGCATGTCAGTATTGCAAAAATCCGAACCGTGTTCTCAACTTGCATTACCAACAGCGGGTTATTCCTGTGGGAACTGTACCACAATGAAGGAGAATGGTAAATTTTGTGCTTGTTACAGTCGACACCTGCAAATTACTCCGCAGGGTCTTGCTATGTGCCTGTCCGTATACAAAATGCGGCCTGATACACTTCGATCCAGCCGTTTGCAAAGAACGAGTGTTGTACTCCTTCGCTTTCTCATCGTATAGTTGCTCAAGAGGAAAGATGTTGGACTCGAGTAGGTAACGTATTGGACATAGCAGAGGATAGATCTGAAGGGAAGGGTCTTCCGAGTATGCTGGAATTCGACTACGACAGGGGAATTATGCGGGTGGCGTAAGTTGGATCCAATATTTGGCATATCGAGCGCCCGATCTGAATATGCCACGATCATATGATGCGATGATGCAAGATTCCTCCGAGATCACCGGTCATCGATCGACTTTGAGTTGCCAGCATCACGTCCTGTCGACAGGAGTCTCAAGAGGTCAACCCAAGATGAACGAGACGATAGGGACACTGGTGCTTTCTGTGTACGTCGGGATTCAGGCTTTTGGTCACTCGTGGAGCGGTAACGTGTACCTTCTAGACAGATCAATTTGACAACTAGAGATGCTGTGTAGACAAACTCACTCGGCCGTGCGGTATATGTGATACGGTAAGCAGGGGACTTGGCTCAGTCCGGTAACGCTGCGAGGGAATGGCGGGTTACGGATCCCGCGGTCGAAGAAGCTATTGTGCTATTTTGCAATGTCAAGGTCAGAAATTGAAGTCTAACTACTTATCCTATTTCTCCGTTTCTCCAGATTGCTGAGGAAATGTGACGTGTCATCTGTCGCTGAACTGACGCGTTCGCAGTGAGCTGGGGCTTTCGAGCTCTTCCGTAAAAATGTGGCCCCGATGGACGTCTTACCTACTACATCACGTTCACAGATTGGCAGTGGGTTCAGAGTACCCGGATTGAATCGGGCTATACACTTACCAAATATCACCTGTCATTATTGGAGATGTAAGGACAAATTTGTTAGAGGAGACTCTGATTTGTATCGATCAAAGTTGATCAAGGAATCCATTGGAGGCGAATCATGCTGGCGTGAGACGATTTACCCGAGAAAATGGGCATGCTAATAAGAGGAGGACAAGTGCGAGGTGGAGAGGAAGTATGAGGATAATTCGAAGATTCTCAGAGAGAGTAAATGACCCAGCAAAAAAAAAAGGACCGAAAGCTAGCACGAACCTGGCAACCCAAACAAGCAGAGCCCCGTCGATCACGGATGCGCAGTTTTCGCTTTGAGCGCTGTGATGGGTCGTGGTGTGAGTAGTTGGAAGGAGTGAATTTGACAAGCGTGAGTGTTCACGGGGTGTAGACATATGAAGAAATCGGAGAACGGCGAGAGAAGGTGACAGGCCAAGCGTACCCTGGTACTTAAGAGTGCGAGGTGGCTGTGTCCTTCTCCCGCCCTCCACTCTCTCAGGTCCGATCGCGTCTCTCGTCCTTAGATCTCGAAATTTACGTAATACACCCTGCTCGACGCATTTCCGCCCCTCCAAACTTCATTTCAAAGCCCTGCCGGTTTTCGCCCAAACATTTTCCATACAGATCTCCTAACTAGTTACATCTTGGAAGCCTCGCATTGCCTCCCTTCTGTCTTTCTTCCTGACCACGAAGTCTGGAGTAGCATAGAATACAGTTTGTCACAATGTAGAAATCAGAGCTACGTATGTGTAGGAACCAGAAACTAGTACGATCGTCGCAGCTGTGCTCCGTGCTCCGTCCTGACAGGACCAAACGCCGACTACATATAAGTACCTTCTGTGATCGCTTGCAATGACGTAAAAAGAGATACATATCTGCTGGAAACAAAGAAAGTAGGCCGCCAGCCCAAGCGCTGGTCTCAACTAGCCCCATCTCGTGAAAGCGTCGTCACAGCCATCATCTAACTAATGAGACTCTACATACTGGCTGGACTCAGGCATTCCTCCTGCCGTGCGGTCGCTGTATCGAATTCCAATGTCCGCCTCTGGTTGACGAATTGTAAACAGTGCAAGAGATCTTCGCAAGTTTGCTATAGATGCGGCTAAATCGTGGAGGATATCGGGTGCGATCAAGTAAGAGGCATGTCGTTCGGTCTCGAGGACGGGTTGGTGTAAATCTCGGCAGCCGATGGTATGAAGTTCTACGAGGAATTGCACATGTGATTGCTTGTAGCTCCCAAACATCGAAAACCACTTCCTTGAGAACGATGTGGTGCCTTCTTTGGAGCAAGACGGAAACGCTGTCGCTATGGCGTCCAGAGTGATCCTGGCGTACCAGTAACACTGCCGAATGTAAAGGTTATAGTGCTTAAAAGTGGTAGATGCAACACCTGCAATAAACGCGACATCCAAGAGGCTGGGTGAAGGGTGGTTCCACCGAAGTGTACCCTTGCATACTGGCTCTTGACCTGCCCTCTGCCAGTACTCGTGGAACTCCCTGTATTAAAAGTATCAATCATCGAAGGAGGCCCCCAGAGTGGGAAGAATAACGCGCCTGGTTCGCACGATTGTGATAGTATCCTTTGCAACTCCACCACTCGAGGATATTACTTGTGTTCCATTGTTAGCAGGGGCACGCTCGACGACGAGTATGAGCCTTTCTGCTGTTATTGCACCATCTGAGACTGCCAGTGGGAACGACTGTATAATCAACATACCAGTCTCAGCGTCGACAAACTCAACGAGGAGAAATTCATGATAGCAAGACGACCGGGAAGGTATATAATACAGATCACATGCACTGACTGCTGCCCCCAGTTGAGTTCTCGCGATGCGTAGGAAATCTTGAACGCTGTAATGTCTCGAGCTCTCGAGCTCCGGCAGAAGCATAGTTATAGTACCACGTTGGATCGGTAGGGTGGGTTGCAGTGACCAGGGCCGGCGCTGGGAGGAGATTTGGGGGGTACCACCGCATAGTTATATAGTGCGACGCAGAAAACCCCAAGAGCAAACAAATCCGACGGGACGTTAGCTTACCTATGCCCAAATCCCATCCGGATGTAGTGTCGAATTCATGATCTCATCCGGATCTAGCGTCGGATTCGTGATCTCATCCAGATCTCAGGAGCACTGGACTCGCAACGTGTTCTCATTAGGTGGAACTTCGCGGTGCGCACTTAGGGGTGACACCAGTCACACTTGTGGTCACCACCAAGTGTGACCAGCATGCTCGGTCCTCGTGTCGCGAAAATTTACGCTTAGGTAAGCTTCGTCCGTCCTATATAACTACTGCGATGGTATCCCCTGAATCTCCTCCCAACGACGGCCCCAGTAATTGCAACCTGCGCTGCCGATGGCGCATGCCACTACCGCTATGCTCCTGCGCGGGCTCGAGAGCTCGAGACAGTATGGCGTTCAAGATTTCCTACGCACCACGAGAACTCAACCGGCAGCAACGGTCGACGCATGCGATCTGTATTATATTCCTTCCCGGTCTTCCTGGTATCACAAATTTCTTCTGGTTCACATTCATGATGGTCGTAAGTACATTGACTACTCAAGTGTGGTCATGTCCAGATGCTGTGTTGACAGAAGAGAGGCTCATGTTCACCGTCCCAAGCAACAATGGTATGCAAGTGATATCCTCGAATGGCGGAGTCACAAAGGACACTATCACAGTCGTGCGAGCCAGGTATATCCAACGCTAATGACCTGCTTCAGCCACTGACATTTCTAATATCCCCACAAAGGGAGCACCATGAGTACTGGCAAAGAGCTGGTTGGCATCCTGTACTGAGGGGTACACTTCGATGGGACTGCTCTCCACCCCGTCTTTTCGATATTGCTTTCTTTGCAAGTGCCACATGCACCACTTTTAAACACTACAATCTCTACGTTCGGCAATGTTATTGGTATGCCAGGATCACCCTAGTGGCAATGATGAGAGTATTCCCATCTTGCTCCAGGGAAGGGACTACGTCGTTTTCAGGAGGATGGCTCTCAATGTTCAGGAGCTACAAGCCATCACAAGTCCAACTTCTCATAGATCTTCACACTAACTACTGTCGTGATTTACACCCACCTGCTGGCCACCTACCTCCTATGATCCCTACCATGGAGGTTGGACAACATGCTTCTGCCTCCATCACACCAGACATTCTCCATGGCGTCGCCATGTTTATAGCCAACTTCCAGAGGCCTCTGTCACATTCGGCGTTGCCCAAACTAGCAGTGGTCATTGTAAACTGACGCCATGACCAGTTGGCCAGATGAATACTCGGATCCAGCAGGTATATGGAATCCTATTAGGTAGATGATGACCGTGCTGATGCGATGGAATTGGACTTCCAAGAGACTTAACTAGACGATACTAGGGGATGAGCTTTGATCGTCTGTTGTAGATATGTGATCCAAATTTTGTGTACGCAATTTGCCTATACCATCACTACATCATGCTGGCATGGTGCCCAGCAGTGATGGTTTTTCATTCCTATGGCCCTTACTATCTCTATTTTTCTGTACATGATTGTGTATGTGCCCAAATAGCTCGAATAGCACGCGACTAGTCCGTCCTAGCGCCATGATCGCGGCGACATCGTGCACCGCATATTTGTGTATCGGATCCCGGTCATCAGAAGTGTGCGGACTCGATCGTCTCCGCCCAAGTTGTAACTTGCTCAAACCGTGTAGATAATGCATCACAGCAGAATTCAATGGCTTTCCTCCCGCCCGAGACTTGTATGATGGTCTGCATTACCTTCGTGTTCGGCTCTGCGGGCATCACTTCTGGTCTATTTCTTCAAGGTCATTTCCCTCGACGTCTTCCACTGCATTCCCTCTCATACATCTCTCCATGTCTTCATTTCCCGCACAATCCCTCGTCTCCCTTACCTGTATGTTCACCATTTCCTCGCCAGCATCCCCATCAGTTGAAATAACCACACCCACCACAAGGGACGCCGCCACCACCACTTCGAATGGAATTCTTGATTGGGATGTTAGTTGGATCCGAGAGAAACCATGTTCGGGATTCGATAGACGACGAGTGCAATACCCTACTTGGGTTCCCTGCGGGTTTGTTTGGATCCCTGCAGACGTCGACTTCATCGGCACGGGCAGAAGGTCAACCCAGCATTTCTGCATTTCCAACTCGAAAACCTCAACTAGTTATGAGTTAACCCACTCAGATCTTGATATATTGATCCAGCCTTCTGTCACAAACTTCTATGTCGTCTTCAATAGGACATCCACAATTCTCGCCTCATTATTCTGCGACCCTCTGTTCGTCGACATCCATTCGTTCAGTACTGATGGGGTGCCTCCACTACTATCTCATCGCAGAGTCTCCATCCATCTGCGCAACGGACCGACCGGGTGTATCCACCTACGCTGTACCTTCAAATATCAAGTTCCTGTCTGGATGCGGCTCGTCTCTGCCCTGTCAGTGACAATTGAGTCCAAACCCCGATGTACACAGGAATCTCGAAGTCGCAGCCTACTGAGCACCGTCCACTTCCAATCCAACAGGAAATGGTAGATCAACCTATACCACTTTACAGGATAACCACAAGAAGAGCTGTTCTGAACACCCTTAATGGTCTTATGTCGGGTTTCAAGGGCCTTTTCAAGCGGTGTAGGGCGACTTCAAAAAGGATGGCTAGCTCCAATTGCTCAGTATCCCCGAAGGAACACTGCCACCTCGCTCGCCTTCTTAATGTCTTCCTCCTTCTCCGTTTCGAACCACGGTTCGTTTGTTACAAGCCTGAGCACATATGGCCAAACAGACATAAGGTACCATTATGGAAATCGTTTGAGTTCCACAATTTCTACTCAAACTCAGTATTGCTTTGTGTAGGGAGGCGAGTTTTTGTCTCTGAACTTATCCCTTAAGCTGATAGACATGCAATCCCAAACCATGACTGGAGTGCCCTGTGCATTTTCCCACTAGTAGACACTGTCGTGCTATTGATCGTTCTCATAACTAAACATGCAAGAAAGTCGAGGTTATCTACAGATGTTTAGATGAAAATCCATGCATTCTCCAGGTGAGTAGTGTTTGGTTACGTGTAAAGTCAATAAACCATTCTATGATTCTTAGAGAGATGAGGAGTACACAGGGTATCGTCCAGGATGTAGCCCAGAGGAGGCCTGACGGACAATATATCCTTGGACGCTCGGATGTCCACGTTATATCTTACCATGCACAAATTCTATGATGCTCATGTGCGATGCCCTTCGAGTGTGTGGCCAGACTTAATGAAAATTGCACGTGGGTGGCAACCTGTGTAGTCGGCACTTTCAGCAGAACATCGAAGGTGCTTCCTTTTTGGGAGCATTGAGGCGGATGTTGGAAGTCATGGAATCTTCATCGGTCATTAATCAAGAATAGTTGCAGGTGTGGCGCGCTCGAGTGAGACTTGCCTTGTCTATACAGTTCTCAAGAGGCCAACCCAAGATGAATGAGGCAACATAGATACTTTCTGTGTACACGGGATTTAGGCTCAATTTTTGGTCACCCGCAGAGCGGTAACAAGTGGCTTCAAGACAGATTAATTTGTCAGTCAAGGACTCGGGCGGTCCAAGAAGTTGTTGTGTTGTTGTGCAATGTGAAAGTAGTCAGAAATTGACGTTTAACCACTTATCCTATTTCTCCACTCCTTGAGGTTGTTGAGGAAATGTGTGACTTGTCAGTTTTCGCTGAATCGACCTGGTCGCGGTTAGCTGGGGCTTTCGAGCTCTATTTTAGAAATGTAGCCCCGGTGGACGTCTTACCTACTACATCACATTCGCTGATTTGCAGTAGGCTCAGAGTACCCAGATTAAATCAGAATATACATTTATCAAATATCACCTGTTGTTGTTAGATATGTAAGAACAAAGACCTGTTAGGAGAGACTTGGTTCTGCGGCGATCAGAACTGATCAAGAAGTTAACTGAAGGTGAATGATGTTGGTGTGAAACGATTTGCTTGGGAAGACGGGCATGCTAATAAGAGGGGGGCGGGTGCGAAGTGGAGAGGAGGTATGAGGAGAATTTGAAAGATTCCCGGACAGAGTAAATGACCCAGCAACAGACCGAAAGCTAGTGCGAGCCTGGGAACCCAAACATGAAGACGAAACAGAGCCCCATGCGATTGCGGATGTGTAGTTTTCGCTTTGAGGGCTGTGATGGGTCGTAGTGTGAGTAGTTGGAAGGAGTGAATCCGACAGGCGGGAGTGTTCACGGGGTGTAGACATATGAAGAAATCAGAGAACGGCGAGAAATGATGACAGGCCATGCGTACCTAAGAGTGCGAGGTGGCTGTACTCCTTCTCCGGCCCTCCGCTCTCTCAGGTCTGATCGCGTCTCTCGTCCTTAGAACTCGAAATCTTTGTACTCCACCCTTCTCGATGCATTACCGCCCCTCCAAACTTCATTTCTCTCTGGAAGATCCTGCCGGTTTTCGCCCAGACGTTTTCTATCCAAACTAGTTACATCTCGGAAGCCTCGCATTGCCGCCCCTCTGTCTTTCTTCCTAGTCACGAAGTCTGGAGTAGCATAGAATACAGTTTTCCACAATGTAGAAATCAATGCTATGTATGCGTAGGAACCAAAAACTAGTACGATCCATGTCCGCTGGAAACAAAGAAAGTAGGTCACCAACGCAGCCGCTGGTGCCAATTAGTCCCGTCTCTTGAAAGCGCCAACACAGCCATCATCTAACTAATGAAACTCTACATACCGGCTGGACTCGGGCGTTCCTCCCGCCGTTTGGATGTAATGAAGAGCGCATGCAACGATCGTTGCTGGCACTGGGATTATCCTCGCGATGGATAGGAAGTCTCGGACGCTGTATGTTATTGAGGTCTCATATCCGTGCAAGAAGCCTGGCGTGGGGACGATATCTGTGGTAGAAACTTGACAGAAGATTAGTGGCAAATGGACAAAGTTAGTAGAGGGAATTACAGACATGTAGAGTAGATCGTAGTGAGTCAGAGACCCGGGGGAAGAGAGAGGATTGGATATCATGTATTATTGACGCGTGCTATTTAAACTTTTGCGAGTGGGTGCGAAAATGAACGATGAGATGAAAACAACAATAATTCAACGTGCAAGCGCGGGGAAATGGCGGATTGGATGACAACTGCAACAGGTTCCGACTAATTTACAGTGCAAGCACGGGGAAATGAACGGTCGGATGAAAGCACCTCTTTACACATGTAAAGAGCCCGCCGTGTAGGAATCAAAATCGGTTGAGATGGATCTGAAAACGCCACGACTCTCCGGCGGAGGTTGAAAGAGAAGTAAGAGAAGTGAACGGAGCTCGCAATATTTGCCGGAATTTCTCTTCCAGAGCCTCCCTGTTTTGGATATGATCGATCCACGTGTAGCATACGTTGCGCATGTGCACCCGTGTCATGATCGCACATTGCATTTGTTCGCTCTTCGCCTAAAATTTTAGCTTCCGTCACGGCCTGACGCTTTCATGGCATGCACAAAGCGTCCCTGACATGGCCACGTTCGCAAGGGGCGAGCCGCCATAAAGATCGAGGTTGTCTTAAAAAATAAGCGATGGTGGGTGTAAACCGGTTTGGATCTATTTGGCTTGGTCAGGGACGTCGTATCACGTGTTCCCACCTATGTCGCAAATTTATTTGGTCCATTGTCACGTGCCCCCATTGTAAGCAGCATGTAATGGACCACTTGCCATTATAATGGTCAGGTTTGGCTAGATTATAGCAAATATGTGATATTTTATCTAAGATATAGTGCAAATGTGTAAAATATTATGTACAAATACCCATTTTTGGCAATCTTTCAATGACACATGGGTGGCATTGGCATGGCTTATAACGGAAGTGTGAACAGCCACCCTTAACATGTATTATAAGGTTCTTATCACGTGCCCAAGAAATTTGCGACATATGAACTTCCGGCTCGGGCAATGGTTTGTCAGATTATTCTTGTGGCCGGAACTTCCTGGCTGAGATTGTCAGCAAAAAAACTGCACATTGGCAATGGCTTCTTTGACCGAAGTCCGCAACTTGTTTAACGTACCCAACACCTTGTGGCTGCTCAAATCACGCAGAACGAGCGATAGCCGAAGTGTCCCGCTTAGACTGCACCACCCTGCATATGAATACGAACGTTGACCCCCTCAGATCACTCCACAGGTTCTCGGTATATTCCTGTCCGGATATCGAGCATGGTGTCATTTGTCGATCCAGTTGCTCGTCAAGAAAACCACTTCTATTGCCTGCCTTCAGATTCTTGCCATCCGAGTCCTAAAAACTGCATTCCTGCGCTCGGCAAGGATTGCAGAATAGGAGGGGAGTGAGTGTGTAGCAGACTAGAGACCAGACATGGCAAAAAGAGCACGAAAATCAAATTGAAGCTGTGTACAATGGCTGGGGGGAAAAGATACTCAACTTCATACCGGATTGTCAAGGGCGAGATCGGCGAACTTCCGTTCACAGGGATAGGTCTTTCCAGTGTGCCAGAATTCGACTATGATGCGTGTAGTGTAAGATAAACCCAATATTTGGCACGAGTACTAGCATTGTGCTCACCGCTTGATCGATCGATCGATCAAATTCAAATTCGAGTTCCTATCATTATTGCGGATCCGAGGCTCGATTAACCAACCCCGACGACAATCTCAAAGAAGAGTAGATCCGAGATGAGCGAGTCGGCCTTAATACTTCCTGTGTATATCGGGGTTTAGACTCAGGTGTCGCCGCCGGGGCGGAGAGGAGTCGCCCCTGGACAGCAACTTGATACTTGAAGGTACAGCGTAGGCGGACACACCCGGTTGTTTGGCTGCGCAGGTAGGTGGAGATACCCCGATGAAAGACCAGTGGGTGCACCCCATGAATAGTGAGCGTATGGATGTCGAGGAACAGAGGATTGTAGAATACCCGAGGCGAGAATTGTGGACGTCCTATTGAAGGCGACATAGAAGCGTCGTTTAAACGTTTGTGGCGAAAAGTTGAATCAATATATCAAGATTTGAGTCGGTTAACTCACAACTAGTTGGGGTTTTCGACTTGGAAATGTAGAAATGCTATGTCGACCTTCTGCCCGCGTCGACAGAATCGACGTCTGCAGGGATCCAAAACAAACCACCAAGGAACCCAAGTAGGGCAATACACTCGTCTTCTGCCGAATCCCGAACATGATTTCTCTCGAATCTGACTAACATCGCAATCAAGAATTCCATTCGAAGTGGTGGCGCCGGCGTTCCTTGTGGTGGATATGGTTGTTTCAGGCGATGGGGACGCTGGCGAGGCAATGGTGAATACGCAAGTGAGCAGACGAGGGATTATGTGGGGAACGAAGACATGGAGAGGTGGATGAGAGGGAACGCAGTGGAAGACGTCGAGGGAAATGACCTTGAAGAAATAGACCGGAAGCGATGCCCACGGAGTCGAACACAAAGGCAATGCAGAGCCTCATACAAGTCTCGGGCGGAAGGAAAGCCATTGAATTCTGCTGTGATGGATTATCTACACGGTTTGAGCAAGTTACAACTTGGGCGGAGACGGTCGAGTCCGCACGCTTCTGATGGCCGGGATCCGATACACGAAGATGTGGTGCACAATATCATCGAGTTGCGATCATGACGCTAGGATGGACTAGTCGCGTGCTATCCGAGCTGTTTGGGTACCTACACAATCATGTACAGAAAAATAGAGATAGTAAGGGCCATAGGAATGAAAAACTATCACGGTACCATGCTAGCATGACACAGTGATGGTATAGGTAAATTGCGTACACGAAATCCGAATCACATATCTACAACAGATGATCAAAGCTCATCCGCTAGCATCGTCTAGCTTTGTCTCTTGGAAGTCCAATTCCTCCGGATCGCCGCAGTCGTCATCCACCTAGTGGAACTCCATATACATGCTGGATCCGAGTATTCCTCCGGCGAACTGGTCATGGCGTCGGTTTACAATGACAACCGCTAGTTGGGGCAACGCTGAATGGGGCAGAGGCCTCTGGACGTTGGCTATAAACATGGCGAGGCCATGGAGAATGTCTGGTGTGACGGAGGCAGAAGCATGTCGTCCGGCCCCCATGGTAGGGATCATAGGAGTTAGGTGGCCAGCAGGTGGGTGTAAATCACGACAGTAATTAGTGTGAAGATCTACGAGAAGTTGGACTTGTGATGGCTTGTAGCTCCCGAACATTGAGAGCCATCCTCCTGAAAACGACGTAGTCCCTTCCCGGGAGCAAGACGGGAATGCTTTTGCCATTGCCGCTAGGGTGATCCTGGCATACCAATAGCATTGCCGAAGGTAGAGATTGTAGTGTTTAAAGGTGGTGGATGCGGCGCTTGCGAAGAAAGCAATATCGGAGAGACGGGGTGGAAAGCGGTCCCATCGAAGTGTACCCTTCAGTACAGGATCTTGACCGGCCCTTTTCCAGTATTCATGGTGCTCCCTTCGTGGGGATATTAGAAAGGTCAGTCGCTGAAGCAGGTCATTAGAGTTGGATATACCTGGCTCGCACGACTGTGATAGTGTCCCTTGCGACTCCGCCATTCGAGGACATCACTTGCATACTATTGTTACTCGGGCTGCGCTCGATGGTGACCATGAGCCTCTCTCCTGTCAACACAACATCAGGGCACGATCATACTCGAGTAGTCAGTGTACTTACGACCAACATGAATGTGGACAAGAAGAAATTCATGACAGCAGGAAGACCGGGAAGGAATGTAATATAGATCACATCCGCCGACCGTTGCCGCTGGTTGAGTTCTCGCGGTGCGCAGGAAATCTTGAACGCCACATTGTCTTGAGCTCTCGTGCTCGCACAGGAGCATAGTGGTGGTGGCATGTGCCATCGATAGAGTGGGTTGCAATGACTGGGGCCGGTTCTGCGAGATGATTCAGGGGATACCATTGCACTAGTTATATGGTGTGGAGCAGCTTCTTTGCCCGCTGAGCAGTATCATACGTGAGTGCAAGCGGGCTTCTTTTCCACACGTGGAACCACTGAAAGTTGAACTTACATAATACTCTGGCTGGGCAAAGACGTTGTTTCGCACCATATAACTAGTGCAATGGTATCCCCTGAATCATCTCGCAGAACCGGCCCCAGTCATTGCAACCCACTCTATCGATGGCACATGCCACCACCACTATGCTCCTGTGCGAGCACGAGAGCTCAAGACAGTGTGGCGTTCAAGATTTCCTACGCACCACGAGAACTCGACTAGCAGCAAAGTTGCGAAGCAGCACACGTCAGGCATATTCCTCCCAAATCAGTGATCTACATAGGTAACCCCACACGTGTAGCCATACATAATATGCATTGATAACTAACTGTAACAGATAATCTTGCAAGTAGAACGGCGACGAAGTGTATTACAACAGTGGTATGTAGTGGATGCTGTGTCGCATGCTAGCAGCGAGCAGTGCATTGTCTAGTAGTGGTGAGTTTTACTCGAGTGCCGCACCTACAACTATTCCTGATCAATAACTGATGAAGATTCTGTGGTTTCCAGCGTCCTAAGTTCTCGCAAGCCTTCATAAATTCTAGGGAGCACTTTCAAATGTTCTACTGAAAGTGCCGACTACACGGGTTGTCAGCCATGCACAACTGTAATTAAGTCTGGCCACACTCAAAGGGCATCACACGCGAGCATCATAGAATTTGCACATGATAAGATAACATGGACGTCTGAGCGTTTAAAGATATACTGTCCACCAGGCCTCCTCCAGGCTACATCCTGGACGACACCCTGTGTGCCCCTCATCTCTCTAAGAATGGCTCATTAACTTTACACGTAATCAAACACAACTCACCCGGAAAATGAAAATGCACAGATTTTCGTCTGAATGTCTGTAGATAACCTCGACCGTCTTGGATGTTCAGTTATGAGAATGTCCGATAGTACGACAGCATCTACTAGTTGGAAAAATGCACGGGGCGCTCTGGTCATGGGTTTGGGATTGCATCTCTATCAGCCTAAAGGATAATTTCGAAGACAAAAATTCACCTCCGTAGATAAAGCAATACTGAGACTCTGCCGTACGAATGACCATTCTTAGAGCAGAGATTGTGGTGCTCAGAGGATCTCTGTAATGGAGCTTTATGTTGGTTCCGCCGCATGCGCTCAGGCTTGTGACAAACGAACCGTGATTCGAAAAGGAGGAGGAAGACATTAAGAAGGCGAGCGAGGTGGTAACGTCTTTCGGGGATAATGAGCGATCGGACCAGCCATCCTTTTTGAAAGCGCCCTACACCGCTTGAAAAGGCCCTTGAAACCGACGCGAGACCAGTAAGGGTGTTCAGAACAGCTCTTCTCGCAGTTTTCCTGTAAAGTGGTATAAGTTCGCCTACAATTTCCCGTTGGATTTTCGAGATTCCCGTGTACAAGGAGATTTTTACTCAGGCGTCACTAATGGGGAGGAGATGATTCACCTCTAGACAGCAACTTGATATTTGAAGATATAATGTAGGCGGACACACCTGGTCGTTTGGAGTAGGTGGGTGGAGATACCTCGATGAGAGACCAGTGGGTGCACCCAAATCGATAGGAAAGGAAGCTTACCTCAGCCTAAATTTCATGATACGTAGGACGAAACAGGCGGCCCATGATAGGGCGAACCAAGGGCGAACCAGGGGACCCACAATAGGACAAACCAGGGGCCCATGATAGGACAAATCAGGGGGCCCACGCAGATTCCAGCCCCGCAGCGCTGCGGAATCTACTATACATGTCATATTAGTCAGTACCATCTTCATGGCAGTGCGATCGATTGTTGCATACAACACCTAACACAGCCCTCACAACCTTGGACACGTTCACGGGAGCACTGAACTCGCAACGTGTCCTAATTCCTGGGCGCTGTTAGGTCTGTAAACTCCTTGTCGGGGTCGATCATGCTGGTCCAGTCCCCCGGTCACATGTCAAGAGGGTGGGAACTGTGGGGTTAACTCAATACAGTGGGGATTTTTTGCACTGTACATAATGTCTTGCAGACCACATGGAAGCACATGGTTGAATGTGTGCATATCATGGACAGTGGCATGTGCTGCTTGTATATGGACATTACTGGACTCAGTGACAATTTTGTGATTTCTTACAAGTTCCTGCAGTGAGAGTATGCATTTGAGTATATTAATGAAGGTATGAGTTTCTACACTACATCAGTACCAAGTAAACAAGTGGGAATCTAGCTATACTCACCTCAGTGTATGAAGTAGTCACTGAGGTGGAAAACAACAGTGCAGAAAATTTATAGTACAGTAATTAGTAAGCATGTTGACATTGGAGTTTAATTCCAAGCCCACTGGGCAAAACTCCAAGATGCTACTGTAATTCCGGGTCACATTCTTGACATACATTACCATGTGTAATGATTTTAGTGTTGGGTTGGTGTACCCTGTAGGCTCTTGCTGGTGTGCCATGCAGGCTACGTTCACAAGCTTGTTGAACAGTATCCATATTTGATGTTGAGACATCTTAGAGCTATTGCTAGTTATCACAATCTGGTTTGCATAGCAACATGCTTTGACTCATGTGTGTTGATGATCTTTGCAATCATCATTGTACTACTTCATGTCCTTTGCTGGTGTATGTGTTCTGACAGCTAAGAAGGCTGCAATCCAAGGACATTCATGGCACCTGGATTGCAGCTGGCCATCTCCCTAGAGGGAAATCTTGCCAATGTCAGAGACATGTCACAAAATTCACTTTACCCATTATGATGGTGCCCACATTGTAAGTGAATACAATGGTTTATTTTTGCCAGATTACATCAAATATGTATATTTTTATCTGATATTTAGATTGAAAGTGTGAAGTATTGTGTATTGAAGCTCCTTTTTTGGAATCATTGCAATAAAAACTTATATCATTGGCAGTACACCATAATGAGGGTGGGAACTTGTGCCATTAACATCCATTACAAGTAATTGTCCCATTGTGAGGAATCTGCATTCCCTAGATGCATAAGCCCCTATTGACAACCTTTCTGTGACTACTGTTATGTCTCCCTACCACTCACACTCACTGCTGTCCATGTGCTACCTTCCTGCCTTATCTGCTACCTTCCCACACCCTCATTCCCCCCTGCACACTGCAGTACCCATGCTGCTGCATTCCAGTCATTTCCCTTCCCTTGGACTCTTTCTTTACCCCACAATCTCTTTGCCCTTAGTGCTAGTAGTATACCCTTGGCACCTGTTTCAGCCAGTCTTATGTGTATGTGCTATCACACATCTTCATCTTGCCTGTCCCTTGTCTTACTTAGGTTCTGGGTTTGCCTGGACTATAAATCCCTGCATTTAGGTACAGAATGATACCTTTTGGCACTTGGAAGGTAACTACAAGTTTCTTTTCACTTTTTCTATGACATCCACCTCACAAACTGACACACATGAACTATGTATACTGCTCACACCACTCACATTGCTAGTACTACACTGTGGAACATGCCATGCATGCCACAGAATACTAACACTACAGAGCACTGAGTCCTGCCTTCTAGTTTTGACAGTTCAGAATCCCTTGGGATGAGAAACTTGTTCCCTTCACTTAATTATTGTTATCTAAACCAGCTCATCTTTACCTAACACATGTCTGGAAATGCCATGGACTTCCAGACTCTATTATATCAGACTGAGGCCCTCAGTTCACCTCTGGTTTCATGAAGGGACTATTTAAGATGTTAGGAGTACATCAAAAACTCTATACAGCCTCTCACCCCCAAATGGGTGGACAAATAGAGTGGTTGAACTGCAAGATTCAGCAGTGCCTTACACCAACCAGCAGCAAGCTTCTGGGGAGAATGATTGCCTTTGGTGTAGTTCATGTACAATAACTTGCTGTCCTCTTCTACTGGCAAGTGCCCCTTTGAGGTTACCCATTCCTATAGACCTAGGATGGCCATTGAGCTGACAACTTCAAAGGTAGAAGCAGTGCAGGATGTCATGAAATCTTGGTTCCAGGTGTTCCAGGGTGTAAAGGAAGTTTGGCTAAGGCCCCCTCTTGGCAGAAGCAACAGGCAGACAAGCACCATACTGCTGCCCCATCTTACTCCATTGGATCTCAGGTCTGGCTAGCCACAGACCACCTGTCCCTGAGGGAATGGCAGAGATGTAAACTTACCAAGAAGTGGATCAGACCATATGAGGTACTCAATATACTCCCAAACACTCTTAAGTTAAAGCTGCCACACAACCTGAGGATACACCCAGTTGTGAATGTGTCACAAGTCAAACCTTATCTTGGTGCTCTAGATGGGCATCCTGTTCACAGGCCTGGACAACAGAGGGTCACAGATGAAGGAGATGTCAAATACAAGGTTGAATATATTGTTGACTCCTGCTCGAAGCATGGAGCCCTTCAGTTCCTCATCCATTGGAGGGGATACCCTGAGGAAGATCATACCTGGGAGCTGGCCTCTTCCTTGAAGAATTCACAGTCAGCAATCAAGGATTTTTTACCAATTGCACCCTGGTGCCCCCTGAAAGATGTCCCTCCTTTCCTCTGACAACTTTGAAAGCCTGTTCACACCTGTGCCAGAGCTGTTTACTACCATTCATTCTGTTTGGTCTTGTCTGGAAGTGGAGCCTTAGGAGGGGATAGTGTAAT